ATTGAATCGGACGCTTAGTTCACTCAAAAACTGTCATTTTTTGTACATTTAGCTCTGTATCTTCGAAATGGCGGGACTTGTCTTTGCCAAAAACCAATCACCTCTTCTCCCAATCATTACTAATTGAATGTTTTTTAAATCATTCAAATCGGATACTCCGTTCTCTCAAAAATTCGATTTTTATTTTCTGCACTCTTTGCTCCGTATCTTCGAAACGGCTGGACCCGTCTTTGCCAAAAACTAATCAGCTCTTTTCCCTATCAATAGGAATCGAATGTTTTTTGAACCATTCAAATCGGTTGATCCGTGCGCCCTAAAACGTGACTGGAAATTTGTATCCATACATACATACACACACACACACACACATCCATTTTTTCTGAGGTATGCCAAAACGTTCAGAAACCTTCAAAACGTCGAGAAATGTAAAAATTTTCAATTCCGATTTTCGGCCCATTACAATAACTTACCCTACGGGAAGTTAATAAAACATGTGACTATGCTTATCTTATTTATCTAGTTATTTATCATTTATCTAGGTGACTATGTTATATTCATCCATTTAAAAATTAATAAATCACTATTAATATGTTTCAGTAACCTACCGCAAGTGGCGCTATATCGTTCCAAAATTTATTTCCATCTCACAATATTTTTTTTGTGTTCTACGGCCTTGATTGCGTTGAGGAATCACCTCAACTGTGTTTCACCTCAAACGTGTTTTGGAGATCGTTGGAGTCAGTTGGAGTTGAAAGATTATTCAATAACAGATAATTATTGTGAATTTGTAACTGAATGAATTAAATTTGTAAAAAAGAAAAGTATTCAAAAGAAAACGGAATTTTGGGCCATACAATACAACAATGTGAGTGAAAAACCGTTACTGAAACTTTCGTTGAATTAATTGCTTGAAATCATAATAATATACTATTTTTAGGTCGAAAAATTTAGACTTGCGTTCTAAATATAAGCAGAACACTTTAGCGGGTACTGAAGCGTCTGCTAGGCGTAAACAAAATGCAAGTCTACTCCGAGATAGGAGGTCAGTAGCGTTTGCTACTAACAGGAATATAGACCAAGACTCACCAAGCCTAAGTGGTGCAACGCAAAATAATAAAACAAAAAAATTACCATGGGCTGAGAGGTACTTGATTTGGAAAAAGGAAAAGGACGAACAAAGAAAACGTGAAAAAGAGGAAAAAATGAAAGCAAAACCGCCTTTCAAGCCAGTCGGTATTGCTTCGAGGAATGATAATCAATTCAATTCTAAAATGAATAAAATGAGTAATACAAATCCACATAAGAAAAAACCCACTGAAAATGTTCCCAGCGTGAATAAAGCAAACCAGCAAGCGAACATTAATACAGCCCCGAATAAAGCTGGGCCAATAAAAAACATGTCTAACAGGAAAACACAACAATCATCAAACGTGGGTGTTACAGAAAATATGAGGCCGAAAAAAGTAACTCGGGATCAAAGCTACGAGCTTTGGAAAAAGCAGAAAGAGGAACAAAAAAAAACAGCAAGAACAAAAAATGAAGTCAAAACCTCCATTTAAACCCGTGGGCATTGCATCAAGAACTCCATTAATTACTATTAATAAAAGTAAACCTGCTGCATTCAATTCTAAAATGAATAAAACAAATAGTACACCTCGAACTAAGAGCAACACCACTACAAAAGGCAAGCCTAATAAAAATGTTTCCAGTCTGAATAAAACAAATAAAACAAACCTTAATAATGCTGGGCCAAGCAATGAAAGTTAAGTCAGAATATCACTTATAAAGCAAGGTATGAAAATAAATAAATTGACCTTTATAGTTTTCATATAAAACAACTGATTTATTCACCATATTTTGGATTTATTATTTTGTAGGCCATGTGAATTTGTTCAACATTTTTGTTAAATTTTGAAACTTTAATAATTAGTTTTTTAAATATTTATGTCGAACTAGTATAAATGTCATTTATATATAAATTTTGTTATTGTTCATAATTCAGTTCATATATTCATTCAGTTTATATATAAATTTTATACTTAATTTTTGTTTCACAAATCTTAGTAAAATAAAAAATTTCTGATTATAATTCTTTCGAATAGTTTTTTTTCTAAGTCCTTTCAGATATGTTATTTTTTTCTAAGTCCAAATTTTCTGAAACCTTTTCGATTAAGTCATACAAGTTATTTTTGCATGCTATATCATCCCAAAGCCAACATTCGAACGAATGAGGCTCACATTGAAGATTTCATAACGAGAAAATTTCAATGGGGCAAACCCGAGTCGAAATTTAAAATCTTTTAAGTACTCAAAACAGTTCCGAAACCTGAGAATTAACCACTTTTCGCCATATAAATTTAAGATCTTTTAGGTATATTAGACCCCACATACTGCAGTTTTAGGAACGTAATTTACCTAAAAGAGCCTGCATTTTCAAGGTACTACAGCTACTTAAAAGAGCATAAATGTCAAAACTGTCAGGGTGTAAGTTTGAGGTTAGGTTATTACGATTTTAAAATTTTCCTGAAATTTTATAAAAATGTAGGTAGGTCATAGGCCTTATAATACATATGGATTGCAATTATATATGTATTTATAAGGTCTTTGAAGTAGGTATACCTATATAAATAAGTAATTTAAACACATTTTATATTTATTTTTTATTTGCCCGTTTATTGGCACAACATTTATTTACATAATGTATAAATGACTTTTTGTCTAGCATAAATTTTAATCGACGGCACCAATCTGGAAAAAATAATACTTGCATTAATACTATTCACATTTACAAATATCAATTTATTTCATTAAAAACAGTTTAGATTCATGTGCATAAATTATATTTCAGTTATGTAGCTGTTAATGTTTTTCAAATCCTCAGTAGATACTTAATAATATCAATTATATCAATATAAGCATGTTTAAAAATTTACCAATTAACCCTCCAAATAAATTTTGGTCGATTCCCAGTGGCTGAGAAGTTTTTCAACTGCTCCCCGTAAACGAGAAGCAGCACCTCCCTTACTACATTCATCCAGCCATTTTCTGTTCCGTTTGCTTTCGACATTTGCTCAATATATATTATTTTATTTTTGGGAAGAAAGAATCCACACCCTGGAGATATTTCTTCTTACAGAATTAAACATATTTAGTCCTAGCATTGAAAATATCTTATAAAAGCAAGCATTTTATTCATTAATTTACCATGTTTTCTCCAGGAGTGTAGAAGCATGCTGGAATCTATAAGTAGAAAAAAGATTGTTGATTGGAACATAAATTATATCCTTAATTACATTATCTTTATTTACAGTGTGAACTAAAAGTCAATTTGCTTTTGAATGGGTCACAAATGGAGTTTGTGTACCTTTTAAATAAAGAAAAAAGTAAAAAGACTTACGGTGCACTCTGCATAAATATTACATGGTTTATGAAGAGAAGTTTATAACTACCTTGAAATTATAATTGTTTTCTATCATTGCATTTGATTGCACATTCTCGATCTTCTTCACCTCATTCTGTGTTTTATATGCAGCCTCCAATGCAGTTACCCACACACGTGCACTCTCTATTATTTCCGGGGTAACTAATTCAATAGAAATATGTAGTTATTCGATATAAAAAACATTATTTTTAAAATATTATACTGTACCTTTAAAAGAAATTGTCAGCGGGACTGCGTTAACATTGTCCTCTGAGCACTGTAGTTTTGCTGATTTAGCAGAACTACAACTCTCTTCAGAATCACTGTCATTCACACTAATTATTTCCTGAATCTCATGTGTAGACTCAGGAGCTCCATTAATAATAAGCATGTTGCCTTGGTCGTCAACATAATCGATGGGTGTATCATCAAGTATCACATACTCCTGGTCAACATTAGTGAGGCTAAGTGCATTACCACCATCAAAAATAGTTGGCTTAACCCTTAGCCTGGCATCCATAACTTTTCGATTCGATAGAGCAACTATCTGCTCTACCTTTCGATTTTTTTGTAAAAATGCATTTTTCTGAACAATATTTTCCATAAATATTTTGTTAGCAGGAACATTTATGTCGCCATCCACACTAACAATCATATTGTTCAAGAATTGCATATCATCTAAAATTCAATATTTTCAGTTAAAAATAAATTTAATACATTTTATAAAATAATTATTGAGATATACATACCGCTAATAGCCAAAACCTTTGCTTCGCCTCTGCCTGCCTTATCATTGTTGCTTTTCTTCCACTTTAATTTTGTGATTGCATTCACATACCTATCTGTAGGGCAAATACTCCTCAAAGGAAATATATCGGTACAACGTGGATTTGATTCCATCCACAACACTAACGCAAACATTTTTGTTCTAGGCATTTTTAATAATTAAATAAATTTATTAATTAAATTTAAATAACACAATTTAAAGCAAAAACGAAACCCAACAAGTAAACCGCGCAAATGATCAAATCACTCTACCGACGCCAACGCCATTTCGCTATTCTCGGGATTTTACTATGTTTCAAAAACCAGATGTTGATAACAAGTTGACCGCCGACCGTAGTTTCGCTACTTTTATGCATTATGTGTTCCTTCGTCTTTATTTATGTTATTATTATGTTATATTATTATGTATTTATGTTAAAATTAATGTAAATAATAGTATTATTTATTTATGTCTTTCTGCCTTTCTGCATTATGTGTTTTTTCGTCTTTATTTATATTATTATTTATGTTATATTATCATTTATTTAGATTAAAATTAATGTAAATTATATTTTTATTTATTTATGTTATATTTTTTATGATCACATAATTTTCAGTTTGCTATAATTATAACATAAAAAAAATGAACATAGGCATTCAGAGTGGTCGGCAGACAACTTGTTAAGCTTTTATGGCGCGAAATGTACGTGCACATTGAATTTCGTTGCATATACAGTTTTTTGTGTTTGCAATTTTGGTGTTTTCATTTTTTTAGTTGTTTTATATATTAATTGTCATTTATATAAGTATTAAAATGATACCAAGGAAATCTATAGATCAAGTTAGCCCTCGACAAATGCGAAAACGGCTAATGCAAGCTTTTAATGGATGTAATAATAGAGAATCTATAAACTTAGTTGAAAATATTTCAACTCTCACACGGTAAGCATGTAGATTTCATTTCATTTTATAAATCAATTATTTTTTGTATTTTTGTTACACATATCAATTTGTCTAATTATACGTTTTACAGTGATGATGGTGTACGATATGATACTATTCTTGAAAATGATGTTTATGATTATTCTCAACAAAATGATCAAGAAGATGAACTTGAACATAAATGTGTGTTTGAAGTGGAAGATGAATCTGAATTAGATCAACCCGAAGAGAGAGAAGTCAATTTTGATGAACAGGTTTACGAAAATGCTCCAATAACAGTATCAAATAGCATGTTTCTCATATTAATGATTTTTTTACGTCATAACGTTTCACTAGAGTGCATAGCTGATATAATTGCTGTTATTAATTTGCATTGTATGAAAAGTAGACTGGTTAAAAACAGTCTGTACAAATTTAGAAAATATTTTTCTTTAGATCATTCTGAATTTATTAAACATTACTATTGCCATTTCTGTGGTCGAGTGCAACTGGAGTCTGACAGCATTTGTCCATCATGTCCCCAAAAAAAAAAATCCATATTTTATTCAATTACCATTTCTTGAACACTTGAGAGAAATGTACAAGAGAGATGGATTTTATTCGAAGCTACAAGATTGCCATAATAAGCGGATAAATAATAACCCAGATTGTATATCTGATGTCTATGATGGTGTTTTATACCGTAAATATGTACAAAAGGGCTTTCTTTGTAACCCTGACAATATTTCATTCACTTGGTATACAGACGGCATACCAGTATTTAAATCCTCAAAAATCAGTGCATGGCCTATTTATTTAACACTTAATGAGTTACCTATTAAAGAACGCAAAAAAGGGAAAATACATTATTATTAGGTCTTTGGTATGGAGACAAAAAGCCTAATATGAATTATTTTTTTCATGTGTTTTATGATGATCTAAAGAAACTTGTCAATGGTATTGAGGTTTACATACCATGTCGGAGAATTAATATTACAGTCAAGGGTATTCTTTTGTTGGGCACTTGTGATTTGCCTGCTAGAAGTGATTGTTTAAATTTTGTCCAGTATAACGGGTACTACGGTTGCTCATATTGTTTTTGCCCAGGCATGAATTTTACATTAGAAACAGGTGGTAATGTTCACGTATACCCATATACTAATAATATTGAGAAAAGAACATTACAAAATTGCAGATCATTTGCTGACAATGCTTCAAGAGATGCACCAATAATGGGAATCAAAGGTCCCACAGCACTTTCACTGATTATGCCTGATTATGTCATGGGGATGGCCATTGATAGGATGCATTGTGTAGAAGGTGGTGTTGTAAAAAAATTGTTATCTTTATTTTTCAATACTGAATTTAAAAATAAGCCTTTTTCTTTATATGCCGTGATAAATGTAATTGATGCTAGATTAAAATCGATAAAACCACCCAAATTTGTGCATCGGATGCCTCGAAGTGTTACAGAGTTACTACATTGGAAAGCATCAGAATTAAAATTGTGGTTCTTTCATTACTCGTTACCTGTTTTGTATGGAATTCTTGCACCACAATATTTTGAACATTATGTGTTGCTGGTGGCTGGAATTTCCATTTTGAATTCCAATACTATATCTTTGTATAAACTTGATGTTGCTAGAGATTTTTTACACAAATATGTTAAATGTTTTGAATACTTGTATAGTGAAATGTACTGCTCCATAAATGTACAATGTACATTATTACATTTACCAGACTGTGTACAGAATCTTGGACCATTGTGGGTATATTCTTGTTTCGAATATGAGGATATAAATGGCCAATTATTAAAATTAATTCATGGAACACGGCATATTGATTCTCAAGTAAGCAAATCTCAAGAATTTTATATAAAGAAGGAGAAAATAATTGAATGTATGAAAAATAAGGAAGTTAAAGAGTTTTGCTTAACAAGAAAAAAACAGGTGAAGATAATTGAAAAAATATTTGAACATACTTATAGTGTTGGAGTATATAAAGTATTTAAAGAGTTTCCAAGCAAAGTAGAGGTTGCACTTCGAACCTCCAACATTACAGTTGAAAACATTTCTTTAAAATACTATCTTCGAGTTTTGAAGAATGATCAATTATTTATTGCTGAAATGTACAGGAATAACATGCAAACTTATTCCAGTGCTATTTCTTACAATTTAAATAACAAATACAATATTGGATTCTTGCATTGTTTTTTAAAAATTAATAATGAACATTTTGCTATTGTGGAAGAATCCAATATTGAAGATTGCTTCATCGGGAAAGGTCATAAATATTATATAAAAGTTTAAATTATTCATTTATAAAAAAATGTACAAGAAAAAAAAGCTTCATTGCTATTCCTGTAAAATCATTACTATATGTTTGTATATATATCAATATTGATGGAAATATTTATGTAGGATTACCTATAAATAAGTATGAATTAGAGTAAAAAAAAGGCAACAAAGAGTTAAAAATTATTAGTTTCGTTTATGTATGTTATGTACTTAATAAATTTCATTATTAAAATGTTTTTTTTTTATTACACTTCATTATTAGTTGTAATACATTTAATTATGTTTAATTATTTACATGAGAAATTGGAGATTTGACATATCATATATTCTGTTTATACATTTAAACAAATATGTAAATTTAAGCATTTTTCAGATGTTCTGCTAGTGGCGAGCTTATGCGATGAGGTTATGTTGTATATGTCAAAAATATAATGTGTTTATTTGTAGTACTTTCGATTCTAAAAGAGCTTGTAACTGTTTTTACGTACTTGGAAAGAGCTTTATGTACCTAAAAGCAGCTAGTTCGAAGCTTAGGGTCCTAATTAGAACTTATTTTTTGACTCGGGAAGTTAAAAATTTTAACAAAGTCCCAGTAATTTTTTCTCGGTGTGAAAATTTCAAGGTGGACTTCATTTCATTCGAGTGTTGACTTTGGGAATTGGTGTGAGGGAGCACTAAAAAACATAAAAAAGATTCAACGCTGAACAGAAAAGAGAAAAATTGATCTGGGACTTAGGGGAGTTTTTTTTTGGTTTCTCCACCTCCCCCTTCTCTCTCCTCCTCCTTCTTTTTCCCTTTTTTTCGCAGAATTTGGCCAAGAGCAGCGGGACGAAGCAGAATATACCGAAAATTTAGCAAGATTTTAAACTTGAATTTTAGATGAATTGTTTTATATTTACAATATAAGAATTTGAAAGACAAATTATGTATGTATATTTTATACCGACCACATCAGAAATATATAGTATTTTATATACATAAAATGAGATACATTACACGCGAGTGTATTTAATTTCAAATCTTATATGCATATATTTATTTTGAAAATGTATGTATATAACAAATTCATCTTAATTTATTTTATTTAAATAATTGTGCACGATGTGTTATCCAACCAAGTCTTTGTCATAGCAAATAAGTACTGAAAATTTAGTCTTAGTAAATGTGTAAATATCGAGCACCATATATGTGGTTGACACAGAAATTAGATTGTCATACATTTTCTTCCCGCAAATGTCATTTGATTAAATCTTTGTACATATAAGACAAGTGTGATTTCAATTTTAACACATTCCCAAAAACCTTGAATATAATTGAATATGTATTAAAATTGTATAATATAATTCAATTGCATTTCATTGTTGTTTTTGTCGTGAATCATTATTAACACGGACACAAAATCCTAATTATATTCCTTTAAGTAAGAGTATTATAAATACAATTTTATTTCAATAAATATAAAAATAAACAGTTAATGGATTATAAAGCTAAATAGTTTGTTTTAAAAATACCTCCGTAGCTTTGGAGTTATAATCTTTCTTTTAGTCGTACTTTGCATTTTCTGGTAGATCACAGTTTCTTCCGTTGGTGGTGCAGATGAAGCCACTGACCGTTGTTCTATATACACAGAATTAAATTTAACATCCATACTCCTATTCATATCATCAGCATCGCCTTTAGTATCAATTGTAAAAGCCTGCTTAAGTTTTTTCTTGCGTTTTCTTATTGTTAGATCTGTGGCCAAAGCTTTCTTCGCAACTAATTTTTTGCCATTTATGCAAACTCCTTGCAAATTTTTCATAACTAATTTATATGTATTTTCGTCCTCGAATATAATAAAGCAAAATTTTGCTGTTTTACGTCTTGACAGAAATACTCTTTCGTCTTTTATGGGATGGGGCATACGAATATACAATTTAAAAGACATTTTATAATTGACTAATCAATAAAAATCAAAACTAATTAAAGGACTTGTTGGAGGTGAATATATAAATTATCAAATTGTTACATAACTTATATTTATATTCAGATATGAACGATTTTCAATTATTATCTTGTAGTTGCATTGACTACAGCTATTATGATATTTTTTATATTTTATGGACAATTTTTTTATATTTAATATAATTTAAAATACCATAAAAATATAATTTAAAAATATATTTTTGTTTAATTAAACTTTTTAAATTGCCATTTGATTGAACTGATTATGAACTGTCATTAGTTTGATGGCAAAATAACCTCAATCCACATTTAAGAACAATTCACAGACTTAACTAATAAATTTAATTAATGTATTAATTATTGCAATCATTTAATTAATTTATATTAAACTAAACAATGAACTTATATTATTTCAAGATAAATTAAATCGAATACATTTATTGAGGTATGCTGCAAATTTTTGTATCAAATCTAATTTGCATTAAAATAAAAACACAATATGATACAATTCAAAATAATTTTAATAAGGAACAGAAATTACAAAAAACCACTTATGAAATACTGAATTAATTTAAATATTATCACAACTCACTTAAAAATTCTTAATATATTTAATGTATTTACTCATAAAAGCCTAAAATTAAAATTACAAACATATTTTAAAGACAATATAATAATATAAAACAGCTATAAATAGCATCTATAAATATTAAAGTTATATAAAACACAATCATAAAAATTGCACATAAAAATAATTTCTAAAAAATATAAATATATGTAAAATCATGTTTAAGACTAAATTCCACGCTTGATGGACTTCCTCGATGGATGATTTGGAGAGCTGGTGTTAGAGATTCACCTCCTAAGAATTATAAAACAATTCTATTCAAAATATATTTAATAAAGTACCTTCAGGTGAATCCCAAGATAGGAGATCTATACTAGTTCAAGTGGAATCAAAATCAATAATTTCATTTGCCGAATTTGCTTTAGTGCTGGATTACCCCATAGGCCCGTGAGGCCCGGGCCTAGGGCGGCAGAATTTGGGGGGCGGCAAATTTTTCAGAATGTCAAAAAAAATTTAAACCCGATAAGATGTCTCGATAATTTATTTTAAGGATTAATCCAGATTTTTTTTATAAATTTACAGATAGTGTTATATAAAATAGATTATAAGTCGTAATGCTCGAGTGTAATCATTGATTAATAAAAATAACACAGACATCGTATAAAAATAACATGTCTCTTGATGGCTATCCAGAAAGACTTTTTAAGTGTTTATTCGTGATCTCAAATGTCGTTCAAATTTAATTTATTACCGCAACGATTGATAATTCATCTGCTCTTATCATATCTAAGCTAAACATATCCCAATAAAGAACCATTGTAGTCGATTTTTATCGCCTAAAAACAATAACTTTGGCGAGCAGTGCTCGGGTTCGCCCGCTAACTGTGTTTGTTCGTGTTCAAGTCAGTGGTTTCAAACCATTTTTGCGATGCGCACCCCAATCTAATAAAGAAAAATTGCGCCCTCTTTTATTTTTCTAACAATTTCATTTCATAAATATTCAAACATTTAACTGATATTATCAAACTACAAATTAATATGCAATATTATGTAAAAATATACATAAAAATTGAAAGAGTCATGAATTTTTATGTATATTTTTACATAATATTGCATATTAATTTGTAGTCTGATAATATCAGTTAAGGAAAAATAAAATAGGGCGCATTTTTTTATTAGATTGGGGTGCTCATCGCAAAAATGGTTAGAATTTGAAAAAAAAATGTTTTATTTTCGAAAATATTATTTACGAAACAGTACCCGCTAAGGGTGCGTGAACCACAGGTTGGAGAGCACGGGGTTAAGTGGCTGAAATCAAATAATGACAAATGTATAAATCTAAGATCGAACTATAAACAAAACGCAGCAATTATTTCAGTTTTACGATAGTCGTTTAAGTAAAAAGTCTTATAATTTTATTATTGTGTTCAGTACCATTAAAGATTTAAATTAGATATTATTTTGAGTTAGACTCTTTTTTAACTAAGTTGTTCGGTTTGTCTGAATTTAATCATTTTATTTACAATTACAATGAGTGGGTACCGAAAAAAACTAAGTGGTGCAGAATATCGTAAAAGGAGAACAGAAGAATCTTTAAAACAAGAGTGTTTACTGAATAAAATTCCAAAAATTTCTAATATTTATGACAACTGTGACAAGTTCAAAAAAATTTGTTCAGCAAAAATTAGGTTCGTCTGTTGTAAGTATTTTGATTACTTGTTAGTATTTTTTTTTTTAAGAATAACCTTGAAAAAAATAGATTTTTTAAATATTTTTGAGCTTTTCGAGTTTGCGTCAATCGACGTCAATTTCGATGTAATGAGCTCAGTAACTTACCTGAGGCTAAATTATAGTAATTGCAAAAAAATCGAAAATGAAAATTTTCATGTTGTATTTTGACCAGACCTCTTAGTCATAGATTTTTCATGTTAAACTGCGCAATAACGAGCTGCAATCGTAAAGCAATCAGAGTTACTGTTGAACCATACGGT